ACACAGGCAAAATTTTATTTTTTTCAGGTATTTACTAAAAGATATGCAAGCTATAGTTATATAATGGATATGGGCTGAAAGTGCACACTCTCAGGTTTAATTTGAGGGTATGTACATCCAAATTGGAGGAAGGGTTTAGGAATTACAGCTCTTAAGAGTACCTAACCCTCCCCCTTTTTCAAGGGATCAATAGTAATTGGACAGCTGAATCAAAAGCTGTTTCATGGCCAGGTGTGGGCTACTCCTTTGTTATTTCTACATCAATTAAGCAAGTAAAAGGTCTGGAGTTGATCCTAAGTGTGATATTTGCATTTGGAATCTATTGCTGTGAGCCTACATCATGCGTTCAAAGGAGCTGTCCATGCAAGTGATACAGGCCATTGTAAGGCTTCAAAAGTGAAACCAATCCATCAGAGAGATAGCAGCAACATTAGAAGGGGCCAAATCAACAGTTTGGTACATGAGCTCAGCAACATAAAAAGGCATGGACATCCATGGAAGACAACAGTGGTGAATGATCGCAGGATCCTCTCTATGGTAAAGAAAAACCCATTCACAACACCCAGACAAGTTAAGGACACTCTCCAGGAGGTGGGTGTATCATTGTCAAAGGCTACAATCAAGAGAAGACTTCATCAGTGCAAATACAGAGGGTTCACCACAAGGTGCAAACCATTCATAAACCTGGAGAATAGAAAAGCCAGATTAGACTTTGCCAAAAAAAATCTAAAAAGGCCAGACTAGTTCTGGAAAAGCATTCTTTGAACGAATGAAACTAAGATTAATCTGTACCAGACTAAGATTAATCTGTACCAGAATGACTGGAGGAAAAAAGTGGGGAGAAGGCTTGGAGCAGCTCATGATCCAAAGCACACAACATCATCTGTAAAACATGGTGGAGGCAGTGTGATGGCATGGGCATGCATGGCTCCCAGTGGCACTGGGTCATTGGTGTTTTATTGATGATGTGACAGAAGAGAGAAGCAGCCAGATGAATTCTGCAGTGTTTGGAGATATACTGTCAACCCAGATTCAGCCAAATGCAGCAAAGTTGATTGGACAGCACTTCACAGGACGGCTTCACTGCGGCCGGCCAGTTTCCGGGGGGGCGTCATATGACATCCTCCCTGATGGCGCCCTCCGGGGGGGGGGCGCACACAGTGATCTCCGTGACCAATCACAGTGGCCTTTTACCACGTGATCAGCCATGTCCAGTGACACAGCAGATCACCGGTAAATGCAGTTGCCGGTTGTGACGGACGCAGGATCGCTGTCACCAATATGTGACGGGCGTGGCGTCAGGCCCCAGCCCCTCTCACCAAACTCGTGACCGAAGGACTAGCCAATCTAAAACCGCACTGTCACGTGCGTAACAATGCCACACCCAGCTGCACCCTGCACAATGATTTTCCAGCTAATTGGCCACAATCTATGTACCAGCCTGAATTGCTTGTTACTGGGTCAGGTTAATTACACAATTAACCTTTCACACTGCCCACCACCTCCTTTTTATACAGAGAAAGAGGAAACTCGGCAAACACTAGGATGATTGGTTAATCGACAGTATACCGCTATCTCTACGACCGGTTATACAGAGGGTTAAACACTCATAGTAGCATTCTTTTTAGAGGCAGGGATTCGTAAATTGCAATTAAGAGCTATAGAAACAATTCAACACTTTCAGAAAATAAGATTTACTACTAACAGTAGAAGGGTGCATAGAAATATACAGAAAGAAGATAACATATATATATATATATATATAAACACATAAAACAGCACAGCAAACAGATAACAGAAGTTTAGGTAAATAAGTACTTGCAAAATAAATGCCTGGAGTTAAGCAGTCTGATGAGCTAAAGAAGGGATTTCTGGTCTCGCATTGGGTTTCGTTGTTGCAGCGAGACTCTCCTTTGCTTTCTGTCCGATAGATGTTATATTGAACGGTCCTCACTTGTCTGACTCCTCACAAGAACTAACTGCGGCTCTTTCCTACACAAAATCTCTTCCCACGATGAACAAGCCAAGCCTTATTTGGCAAGAGGATTGTATAGACAGCCCCTTAGCAAGGTACGCTGAATGCATTCCTGAGGGAGGGGGGAAATCGGAGGAGAGAGACTGATTTGGGAGTTTAAGAGAAATACCAAAATGTAGTTGTTTGGAGCAGAATGGATGACCGCGCCCATCTCTGTGTGCATCATTGTGACACCGGTTCGGCTGATCTTTCCTCACACTGTCACAGCGTAAGGAAAGTATTTCTGATAACCGGCAATTGTCAGAGGAGGGATCAGCACCGATCATCAGGGCACTGAAGATCAGTGCCCAGCAGTGCTGCCCATAAGTGCCCAGCAGTGCCACCCACCTGTGCCCATAACTGCCACCCAGCAGTGGCACTTATCAGTGCCCAGCAGTTCCGCCTGTCAGTGCCCATCATTGAAAATTAGTGCTAGCTCATCAGTGCCGCCTATCTGTGCTGCCTATCAGTGCCCATCATTGTTGCATATCAGTGCCAGTCTGTGCTGTCCATCAGTGCTGCCTCATTGAGGAGGAAAATTACCTGTTTGCAAAATTTTATAAAACTTTTTTTTTCAACATTTTTTTTCTCTTTTTTTTGTTTATAGTGCAAAAAAATAAAACACCCAGTGGCGAGTACATACCACCAAAAGAAAGATCTATTTGTGTGAAAAAAAAATATAAAAATGTCATATGGATGCAGTGTTGCATGACCGCGCAATTGTCACTCAAAGTACGATAGCGCTGAAAGCTGAAAATTGGCATGGGCAGGAAGGGGCTATAAGTGCCTGGTAGGCAAGTGGTTAAAGGCCTCATTGCTTTTTCTGAAAATAGTTGAATGACGTGCTTTACCAAAAAGCTGTAATTTTGTTTTGTCTGTCTACAGCACATTCTCCCGATAGAATTTTGGCTTCCTCAAGTAAGTTTTGGGAAACTCCAATCTGGCTTTTTTATGTTTCTGTGTCAGCAGTGGGTCTCCTACCATAGCTTCCCTTGTCATTCAGATGGCAATGTATAGTGCAAGTTGACACAGTTGCACCTTGTACTTGAAAATCAGCTTGAATTTGTTTAGAAGTTGATTGACGTTCTTTAGCCATCATTCGAACAATTCTTCATTGCAATCTTTGATTAATTTCTCTCTTTGATCCACATCCAGAGAGATTAGCTACAGTGCCGTGGGCTTTAAACTTCTTGACAATGTTGCACACAGTGGACACAGGAACATTAAGATCTCTGGAGATGGACTTGTAACCTTGAGTTGTCCATTCTTTTCCAAAATTTTTGTTCTCAAATCCTCAGACAATTCTTTGTTGCTCTTTCTCTTCTCCATGTTCCACGTGGCACATAGAGACCCACAAAAGAAAGGTTGTGTTAGGAATGGACTTGCCAGTAGTGGTGGGACTCACCTGCCTTGTGGGCTGCAGTACCAGGGCTGGCCAGCGGGTGCTCCCAGCAATCAGAGACTCAACCCTGCAGTCAGCCAAACACCTGAAACTGCTTATGCAGGTGTATTTAAGTGATGGCCAGACCTGCAGTCTTGGCCTTGGTGTGTGTGTTTTTCCTGGGCCCTGTATCTTGTAATCCTGAATTCTTGTTCCTGTGTTCCTGCTAGTACGTTTCCTTGTTGCCAAACTCTGCCTGTTCTGATTACGCTGACCCTCTCCTGCTCTGACCCCGGCTCGTTCCTGACCATCCCTCTGCCTGACCCTCTGTACCACGCTGCCCGCTACCTGCTGAACCTGGCTTGTGACCCTGACCATTCTCCGCTTGCTCCCCCTGTACCTACCTGCCCGATTGTTATTGACCCGGCCTGCCTGACGACGCTTGCATTGTATGTATTATCTGTGGGTGGTTTGGTTCATTTGCACTGTTATGTTTTAGTATTGCACTGCGTTTATGTTTGTATTGTTAGTCTTTAATAAATTATATTGTTTACAACTTATCTGAAGCCTGCGTTTCCCTGCGTCAGTCACATACCTCTGGTCATACCCTGGAGCCCTGACATTACACCAAGGCCAATCCTGACCAGAAGTGGCTGCACAGGGAAGCCATCTTGGCTTGTTGCTGGGAAGGATGGATCTGATGAGGTTGTGTATTTATATCTGCTAGTGTTTGATGACAGAGAATATGCTTATCAGACTCTGAAGGAGTATCCCAGGGATGAACTGCTAGAATGTATACGGCTCGCTCATGTTCTAGTAGATCAGGGCACAGAATTCTCTGAGGTGCAGCCATTGATTCAGGTTTGTGCGGAGTTGGTTTCATCTGGTACCCCTGAATGCAGGGATGAATTTTTGCCGCCATTTAGTGCCGACCAGGTAGAGTCCCTGGTATGGTTATTAGAGGATGATGTGGATTACTTTCTGGAGCATTATCCTGCATGTTCACCACAGGTATTAAGGGATTGTATAAACGCAGTGCAGTCTTTGGTCAGACAGGCTTTGTGTAAGCTCAGCTTTGTTCAACCCATACTGCAGACATGGACAGATTTGTTGCACCCAGCCTCAGTCAGCTTACAAAAACCCAGTCCTGCTTCTAATCTATGTCCTCAAAGCTCTATTACTGCATTCCCAACAGTTCCTCCTGCCCTGCTATCTACCGCATGTCAGTACCCTGTTCCCACTCGCTGCACCTATCCTGCCTTTAACTCTGTAAAGAAGTCCTCTGTAGCAACTGTTCCCTCCCCTGTTCCATCCTCCAGCTCTTCTCTGTCTCCAGCTGCTCCATTCGTTTGCAGACCTGCGTTTACTTGCAGTGCTCCAGTAGTTAAAACCAGAAAAAAGCAAAAATTCTTTCCAACCAGTACCATCCTGCTAGTATCCAAACCGGTGAGCCTGCCATCTGAGAACCTGCTTCCGTGGTTCAGCCTGGTGCCTGGGCACCCGCACTTCAACCTGATGCCTGTACCCGGGCCTGATGCCTGTACCCGGCCTGATGCCTGTACCCGGCCTGATGCCTGTACCCGGCCTGAGCCTGTCCCCGGCCTGATGCCTCTGTTCGGCCTGATGCCTCTGTTCGGCCCTGATGCCTCTACCCTGATGCCTCTGATGCCTCTGTTCTATGCCCAGCGGCGTGATGCCTCTACCCGGCGTGATGCCTCTGTTCGATGCCTCCGGCGTGATGCCTCTGTTCGGCGTGATGCCTCTGTTCCAGTTCGGCGTGATGCCTCTGTTCGCCCGATGCCTTGTTCCAGCCTGATGCCTCTACCCAGCATGATGTTTCTACCCAGCCTGATGAACTGATCCAGCCTGATGATCCTATTAGGCCAGTTGATTCGATGCCCGCTGTCATACCTGGTGACCCGATGCCCGCTGTCGAGCCAGACGATCCAATGCCTGATGACCCGGTGCCCGCATTCATGCCGGGTGACTCGGTGCCCACTGCCTTGCCAGGTGACGCGGTGCCCGCTGGCGAGCCAAATGACCTGATGCCTGGTGACCCAGTGCCCGCTGTCATACCTGGTGACCCGATGCCCGCTGTCGAGCCAGACAATCCAATGCCTGATGACCCACTGCCCGCGGTCATGCCTGGTGATCCGATGCCCGCTGTCGAGCCAGACGATCCAGCGCCAGATGACCCGGTGCCTGCTGTCGAGCCAGACGATCCAGTACCTGATGACCCGGTGCCCGCTGTCGTGCCAATTGACTCAGAGCCCACTGTCGTGCCTGGTGACTTGGTGCCCACTGCCTTGCCAGATGACGCGGTGCCCGCTGTCGAGCCAAATGACCTGATGCCTGGTGACCCGATGCCCGCTGTCCAGCCAGACGATCCAATGTCTGACCCAGTGGTCATGCCATCGGAGCCCACTGTCGTGCCTGGTGACTCGGTGCCTGTCGCTCCGCCTGGGGGCCCGAGACCCTGTCGCCCCGCCTGGGGGCCCGATGCCTGTCGCCCCGCCTGGGGGCCCGATGCCTGTCGCCCCGCCTGGGGGCCCGATGCCTGTCGCCTCCGCTTGGGGCCCGATGCCTGTCGCCCCGCCTGGGAGCCCGATGCCTGTCGCCCCGCCTGGGGGCCCGATGCCTGTCGCCCCGCCTGGTGGCCCGATGCCTGCCGCCCCGCCTGGTGGGCCCGGTGCCTGCTGCTCCGCCTGGGGGCCCGGTGCCTGCTGCTTCGCCTGGTGATCCGCCCGCCCGTGCCTGCTGCTTTGCCCAGCCTGTGCCGCTGCCCGGAGTCCAGCCCGATGGTGGCCCGGAGTCCAGCCCGATGCTGCCGCTGCCCGGAGTCCAGCCGATGTGCCGCTGCCCGGAGTCCAGCCCGATGTGCCGCTGCCCGGAGTCCAGCCCGATGTGCCGCTGCCCAGAGTCCTGCCCGATGTGCCAGTCTTTGATATCCCGCCAGTTACCAGACCCGGGCGGTGGAACATTTTGCCCAGCTAGGACTGTTTGGAGCGTCCTGAGGCCGCTCTCCTTGAGGGGGGGGGTACTGTTAGGAATGGACTTGCCAGTAGTGGTGGGACTCACCTGCCTTGTGGGCTGCAGTACCAGGGCTGGCCAGCGGGTGCTCCCAGCAATCAGAGACTCAACCCTGCAGTCAGCCAAACACCTGAAACTGCTTATGCAGGTGTATTTAAGTGATGGCCAGACCTGCAGTCTTGGCCTTGGTGTGTGTGTTTTTCCTGGGCCCTGTATCTTGTAATCCTGCATTCTTGTTCCTGTGTTCCTGCTAGTACGTTTCCTTGTTGCCAAACTCTGCCTGTTCTGATTACGGTGACCCTCTCCTGCTCTGACCCCGGCTCGTTCCTGATCATCCCTCTGCCTGACCCTCTGTACCACGCTGCCCGCTACCTGCTGAACCTGGCTTGTGACCCCGACCATTCTCCGCTTGCCCCCCCTGTACCTACCTGCCCGATTGTTATTGACCCGGCCTGCCTGACGACGCTTGCATTGTATGTATTATCTGTGGGTGGTTTGGTTCGTTTGCACTGTGTTATGTTTTAGTATTGCACTGCGTTTATGTTTGTATTGTTAGTCTTTAATAAATTATATTGTTTACAACTTATCTGAAGCCTGCGTTTCCCTGCGTCAGTCACATACCTCTGGTCATACCCTGGAGCCCTGACAGGTTGTGTCAATTTTCCACCATTTTAACTAGTTGCTGGTGTGATTTCTATATTGTCAGCACCTGTTAATTGATACAGGTGAGTTTAATTACAAATTACAGGAACATCACAAAGTTCGAATGCAATTATTTCTTACAATTTTGAGAAGGTGCAATAATTTTTTCCAGTCCATTTTTTGGGGGTTTTGCGTAGAACTTTAATTAAATAATTTGACCAATAATGGTTATGGGGAGGTTACCCCAAGCTCTCAACCTCTGCTTAATTACATACACTTTAGGATATAAATTAAGTTGACATTAGTCTCGTACAGATGCTGAAATGGTGATGCCCAAATATTATAAAGCGGATACCCATGTCATGGGGATGGTCGGTTAGCCAGCCACGTGTTTCTCTTTTTCAAAAGCAGTACATACAAGTGCGTATTCTTCTTCCCCTTTCCCAGTAACTCTGCACTGCAGGAAACATGTTTCCTACCTATATCTTATTTTATATTTTTTTAAAACAATTGGGTAATATATTGCATTTCTGTGCACTAAAATTAACTTTAATGTGGTCTTTACTGAAAATTTGTGTGTGCTTTAGAAAAGTATTCATACCCCTTGAAATTTTCCCACATTTTGCCATGTTACAGCCAAAAACATAAATGTATTTTATTGGGATTTTATGTGATAGACCAATACAGAGCGGCCCGTAATTGTGAAGTGGAAGGAAAAATGATCAATGGTTTTTTAAACTTTTTTACAAATAAATATCTGAAAAGTGTGGCGTGCCTTTGTATTCAGCCCCCCTTTACTCTGATGCCCCTAACTAAAATCTAGTGGAACCAATTGCCTTCAGAAGTCACCTAATTCGTAAATGGAGTCCACCTGTGTGTAATTTAATCTCAGTATAAATACAACTGTTCTGTTAAGCCCTCAGAGGTTTGTTAGTGTGGAGAAGTTTGAAGTAGGGTTGGGTTATAAAAAAACAATTATCCCAAGCTTTGCACATATCACGGAGCACTGTTCAATCCATCATCCGAAAATGGAAAGCGTATGGCACAACTGCAAATCTACCAAGACATGGCCATCCACCTAAACTGACAGGCCAGGCAAGGAGAGCATTAATCAGAGAAGCAGCCAGCAGGCCCATGGTAACTCTGGAGGAGCTGCAGAGATCCACAGCTTAGGTGGGAGAATCTGTCCACAGGACAACTATTAGTCATGCACTCCACAAATCTGGCATTTATGGAAGAGCGGCAAGAAAAAAGTAATAGTTTAAAGAAAGCCATAAGAAGTTCCGTTTGCAGTTTGCAAGAAGCCATGTGGGGGACACCGCAAACATGTGGAAGAAGGTTCTCTGGTCAGATGAGACCAAAATTGGCCTAAAAGCAAAACACTATGTGTTGCAGAAAACTAACATTGCACATCACCCTGAACATGCCATCCCCACCGTGAAACGTGGTGGTGGCATCATGTTGTGAGGATGCTTTTATTCTGTAGGGACAGGGAAGCTGGTCAGAGTTGATGGGAAGATGGATGGAGCCAAATACGGGGCAATCTTAGAAGAAAACCTGTTAGAGTCTGCAAAAGACTTGAGACTGGAGCGGAGGTTCACCTTTCAGCATGACAACGACCTTAAACATACAGCCAGAGCTACAATGAAATGGTTTCGATTAAAGCATATTCATGTGTTTCGAATGGCCCAATCAAAGTCCAGACCTAAATCCAATTGAGAATCTGTGCTAAGACTTGAAAATTGTTGTTTAGACGCGCTCCATCCAATCTGACAGAGCTTGAGCTATTTTGCAAAGAAGAATGGGCAAAAATTTCACACTCTAGATGTGCAAAGCTGGTAGAGACATACCCAAAAAGACTTGCAGCTGTAATTGCAGTGAAAGGTGGTTCTACAAAACTATTGACTCAGGGGGGCTGAATACAAATACACTCCACACTTTTCAGATATTTATTTGTAAAAAAAATTTGTAAACCATTTATCAATTTCCTTCCACTTCACAATTCTGTGCCACTTTGTGTTGGTCTTTCACATGAAGTCCCAATAAAATACATTTACGCTTTTGGTTGTAACATGAAAAAATGTGGAAAATTTCAAGGGGTATGAATACTTTTTCAAGGCACTGTTGTGTCCAAGCAAGAAGTGTGTTTTTGCATGTATAATAAACATGGAAAAACACATGAAGCTCAAAAAGGTGCATGAGCTTTTTTGCCATGTTTGTGGCATGAAGGGTAGCTTTATGAAGCACACTAGTGTAAATGGGGCTTAAAATGTGTGCAAAATATGCAAAAAGGATTCTGGCGGTTAATGGTTGTTATATGCTTTTAGGCTAGCTTTACACTGGTGTGGTAGCACACCCACGTGTGTGTTAGTGCATTGTAGTGTTATTCATTTTGGTGGTACCCATTGCACTAAAGGAATGCATTCTAATGCAGCACAACACACAAACTACCATGAGCTAAGTTGGGGAAGATGGTGAAGGTTTATTTTTGTGTCCATTGTTGTGCAATGGCAGCCTTTAAGTGGTATTAAAGCCTAAAACTAACTGCAGCTTACCAATTCTTAAAAGTGGTGGCTGCATCCGTTTATTTTTCAGGGTTTTGTTTTGTTCTTTTTTTCACCAGTTGATCCAGTCTTTAAGTCTGTTAATTTTCAAATTACTTTACCAGACCAAGTTGTTCAGACAAAGTAGCAATTAGATGGTTGAGACAAGCCATTTAACACTGACAGTGGAGCTTACAGTGGTCATATTGTATTCATTTATGTAAAACTTTTCTTGCAAAAGAAAAAAAGTTTCTTGTAACTGCTTATGAAGTGTTAGATGTAGTTCAACTTTAATGTGTTATTCTACAGTTTACCTAAAGGCATTTGTTTTAGTTTTGGATAGAGTGGAGAAGGATTAGAACACTTGTCAGTTATTATTGCGGTCTGTGCCCCCATTAGAGAGATTCACCCTCTCTATTTGTCCTGTTTACTGTTCTCATGAAAAGTGAGAGCAAAAGAATATCCCAAATTTTCGGTTGATATCAGAAAACTAATAGAGGGGAAATATTCCAATGGCGACACTAGTTCTGGTGACATGCCAGGATTGCCTCACTTTTGAGGGATTTCCTCTCACTTCCTGTTTTGGATATGGGACAGGAAGTGAAGGGAAATCTCCCTAATGGATCACAGATGGGAAAAAACTGACAAGGGTTATAACCGTTCAATACTCCATCCAGAATTAAATAAAATGCCTTTAGTTAAACTTTAGGTCCATCTAAATCTGCTAGTCTAACACTACCCTCTCCCCAGGTAACAACGCTGCTGTCTAGAGGTGTCTGCATTACTACTTCATCCAGAATGTATACACTGTAACAGTCTAAAATAAAAGAAAACTGATGCAGACACCACATCTAAAGATTGGTAAGCTGCAATATATTCATTTTTGTTTTGGGTTTAATACCACTATAATGCAAAGCACATGAACAGGCTACATGATGCTCCTGTGTTAATGCACCTCACCAGACTGCACAGATATTAATGGGGTGTTTACTTTAAGGGCCCATTCACACTGAAATGGCAGTGTGTTCAGTGCTTGTTTCCTGCATCGAAAGTGAATGTGCTGCCCTTACAAGAGACATGCGGGTGCCAGTGAATTGTTTACGGCACTCTAAACGTATCTCACAAACGCATTGCATTTGGCCACAAAGTCACTTGGTACCACAATATCATGCAGTTTGGTGTGTTGCATTCTGAAAAAGTAGTGCAAGC